GGTCGCATCTACTAATCGCGTATAATTGTAACAACCCGCAGGCATATTAGCAATAACACGTTCGTTTTTTCATATTCCCCATAATGGTGGGCTCGGGTTAAAAATGTCGTTACCTTAGTGTCAAATTCCGGTCCCAGAACAATACAATTTGCAAGTGGAGGTGCCTTCAATTACACTTCATTTGCACGGCTAGCTATATATTCTCCTGGACATGCAGTCCGTACGGTAATTCTTCATTTTTTGACGAGTACCGCTCATGCCGTATTTTCCTTTTTGAAAACAAAATCGATTACTGTTGTCAAAAATACATAATTGTATGAAGTAAATAAGACGAAAACTAAATTATCGGTCTGGTATGAAAGGAGCAGGCGCTGATAGGTCCGGCGATTAAAGCCGCGTCTCTGGGTGCAGCGGAGAATGCGCGAGCTGAGCAGCGAGCGGTGGGGGCTGCGCCGTGCGGGGATTTGCTCTGCGCGCGCAGCGGCGGACAGGGGGACCCGCGTTCACCGGCATCGCCGCTTCAAAACCAATAGCTCTGACGCGTTTGGAAGACGGGCGTTTATGACAAGCTCCCCGTTATCATGGTCTTGACCAATATAACAACAGCTAATAAATGTCCACGTCTATCCATTCTAAGAAATATCATTTATTTTTTGGTGCAGTTAATTTCTGAAATTCTTAGACTGAAAAATTGTTGTTGGTTACTCATAATGTAACAAATTCAAATGAGAAGGAGAATCAAGACGGTTATCAATTATGTGTTTTCATCTTTTGGGTTTAATTAGTAGGTTTTGGGTGCCTTTGTGCATAAAGTGCATTACGGGGAAAGACTGGGCAGTAGTCAAGCGAGAAATAGCAAATCGATCTGTGACGCTTTGACATATGATCACACATCTGTCTGAGCCTGGACCCTAGAAAATGGCATCTGAAGATCCTTGAAATTATTACACCAAACTACAGGAAAAGCCCTTAGCTTTAATTAAGATTTATGCTTTTGGTTTGTCTTGATAAGTCGGAGTTGTTCGAACAGTCACAGGCCATCATTCATGACTTACAGTGCAAAATAATTGGACACGTAGGTATAGAAAATGGATAGATGGATGGATAGACGGGTTGATGGAATTTTCCCCTTGCCCCTGGAAAATTACTTGAATAGCATTTATTTTTCTGTAAACTGTCATATCCAAAAGCATTATTTTTGCTCTGCTTTTTATTGTTAGAAAAAAACAAAACAACAAAAGAATAGATTTCTATTCATCCTTCTTCCAACTGCTTTTCCAGTACAGAGTTGGAATGAAAGAATATATTTGGCTCTAATAACTGAAATACTGCCATCTATGCTGTTTTTTTTCCCCCAAGTATGACCTTCCATGTGATATTTAACATAAAAAAATCTGACACACATCAAGGACATACTGTTTTTGAATAACAATCGACTCACAAAAAGATGACTTGCTGCCTCTTTAGTCTTGCACCTATTCCAGCTCTCTGGATGCAAGTGTTTGACTGACAACTAATTAACATACATGAGGCGAGGTGGCATTAATCAAGGGCTTCCTTGGCTCGAAAAAGCTCTGCACATCAGGCTATGCTGCCATGACAACGAGTGCTGTGATGACGAGCTCTGTGGTGATCGGATGGAGCCAGAGCCGAGGCAGTAGGCTGCCTCTCTGCTGCTTGTGTTTGTAGGGTGATGAGTGAATCTGGGGAAACAAAGGACCCTGGGGACTTGGTATCAGTGAGCTCCAGCCCACAGCGCTGCCTGTGGGAAGGTCCAGCCCATTGTTAAAATGAGACAGCACTTAATAAACATTAATTAGACTCGGCCCTCCTGGCCCTGCAGCCGCAGAAGAGCCCTTCCCTGAGGTCCGGCTCAGTTTGTCCGTTCTTGACAGTACGTTTTGATCATAATGATTTCATGTGTTATATGATGGCAGGAGATGTGCTTAACGGTTTTGTGTGTTATTGCTATATTTATTAAATGAATAGTCCTATTATATTGTTAATTGAAATAATAGTTCAATTAACAATATAATTGAACTATTATATTGTGCTGGCAGATGTGCTCATGCTTTCAAATTTAGGCTGGCTGCTCCCTTCATGATACAAGCCTCCCTGGTGCTCTGCTGCCCATCTGGCTGCAGCTGCAACGCCTCTGCAAACATCACTGACTTCTGCTCTTGCTTCCAGTTAGTGTGAAGGCCGTTGGGTGACAATACGGTGTCCCTGAGTGCCACAAATGGTTAAACATTTATATATAATATTTCTAACTGCATTATAAAGATATACAGTGCTATAAAAAGACACACAAAGTGCTGAGTTGTATTCCCTGCTGCTGGATGATTCTCTGCTTATAGATTCGTTTTTTTGGTTTATAGATCAAGTCATTTTGTTCCTGTGACATTGTTTTACTTACTGGATAAAGGGCATTTGAATTTCCCTACAGAAGGCCTTGCCTTTTTATCCCCAATCATACACTTTTTTTTTACAATTAAAATCTCTGAGTAATCTTACTGCTAGTTTTATTGCAAAGATTGATTTCTATTGGATTAGAGCAGTCTTTCTAAAATTCAACAAGCTTTCAGTTCATGACACAGTATTTATTAACACACAGCTGCTTGCAATAAACAATTCTGCATTGCATCACTTTTTCTTTCAATTAATCATCAATAGCTATTTCACAAGCATCTACAGTTCTTTGGATTTCAGGTTTTATTTTTGCTTTAAAATATCTGACTCCATGCAGATTCTACAACGTAGTTATTTTATTTTTTTTATATTCATAAAAATGTAAAAAAAAAAAAAACACCAGTTAAAGATGACTTGTCCTGATGAATACTGGTCCTCAATTTTTTATTTTAATAAATCGTTTCATGTATTTATGCATGTGGTTAAACACATTGTTTATGTGGATGATCTTTGTCCTCACATTATAGTATTGAACACAGAATGATAAAGCGAAGTTTAACAGGAGAATCTGACTCTGCGTGGATGAGAGAGGCAGGCAGGCCGGCTGGGGGACACCCCACTGTGTCTGGGACTGATCCTGGGTGTTAGGCTGGGTGGGGGAGGCTGGGAATGCCGGCTTTGGGGGCGGGGGCGGGGGCGGGGCAGGGGAGCCAAGGCGGCTGAGAGAAGGGGACACGCCACACTCATTTCTGCATCCATCTGGAGTGGTGCAGAAGGAGAGATTTTGCTCATTTGACCACAAAATGTGTCACAGATGGGTGCATGTAACACTCCTCAAATAATGGGATTTTCAGAACTTGATTAATGCACTTAAAAATCCTAAAGTGCTCCATAAAAATATTCAAGATACATAAGCAATAGATGCTTACAATTCAACAAATTTCATGAATCTAAATGGAATTCTTCGGGACCTGCAAATAATACTAATGCATCTTAGAAAACGATGCACCACGACGTAAGCGAGTATAGAACGAGCTCACTGTCATTTAAGCACTGAGCGAAAAGGGCACTTTATTTAAACTATCAGTGAAGGTCTCTGCTGTCCCAGGCAGTCCCCCCTCCCCCATTCTTCCTGCCTCAGTCTGCTTCTCCATTGTGTATCACCATCCACTTAATCAAAGGGAGAGGTAACGTGGCCTGATGGAGATGTTAAAAACATAACCTCAATTGCTGACGGGCACACTTGTATCATCATATTGTATTTGTAGACGTATATATAGGCACTGAATAACAAACACTGGTTATTCTTAACCAATATTCAACCTAACTGAATATCTTTCACACTAAACTTTGAAATCCACCTGGAAAATACAAATCATCATGGCGGTACTCTTCCGCCATCTATTGGATGAGTCAGAAATAGAAATTTTAATCCATTCAAGGACAAAACCCGAAATATATTATAAACTGTACATTCTATTAGTAAACATGACACCCGCGAAAATGTTATATTTAAACTAAAAAATCATGTCTAATCAAGTTCTCTTTTATATGGCAAGAATTTTTTTCGTTCAATATCTGGTAGAAAGGCAGAGCCAATCATACGCCGTCTAATCCAGTGACGCATTCTTCGCAGAGATTTCGGTTAAGGTCGGCTCTTGTCGTCTGTGCTGTATTTACTAACCTTTAAACTGCAACGTTATCTCCTTCATATTGTTTTTCCCATTGTCGGGCTCCCGTTCAGTAACGTGTGCACTAAATAAAGAAAAATGTAAGTTTCCCAACCTTTATGATTGATTTATCGTTTAGTGCCTCGTTCAGTAAGCAAGTTTGGCGGTTTTGGTCTCATAGCGTATTGATGACTCATTTAATGGCATTTAACAACTTTTCTTAAGTGATGTTCTGCCGGGGTGAGCAAACGTCAGCCTCCATGGGAAAGCCTATGCCAGAGTACCTGAAATGAGACCAGTGGTTGAATCTAGGGTTCAGGAGGAACAATGCTGGTTGTGGTCTAGCTTTGGGACCACTGACCAAATGTTCTCCCAGAACATACTGTGGGAACTGTTGCAGGTCAAAGAGGTCCTATGGTGCCACTGTGTGTTATGTGGTCCCTCTGTGGATGTAGTAAGAGTTGTATCCACATACTTGGCACAACTGAAGTTGTCTGGAGATAGTCTTGGTCTCTTGGGAGGTTGTGTCTACTCCTGTAATTTTCTTGCACAAGATGTCCATGTGTAGCCATAACTGCAAGGGCATCTGGTGGACCAGAGGTGGCGTCCTTGCCATTTGCAACTGATGTTCTTTTTGGCCTCGTTCAATCAGGACCTCCTTATATGAAGAAGTGGGGATGTGACTTAGCGCCTCCAAATCCAAGGCTAAGGTTGGAGCAGATTTAGGGTGAAAGAGCACCTGACCATCTCGACTGGCAGCAGTAGCTCAGAAGAGACTCACAGTTTACCAGTCAGTTTGCATCCCTATCCTCACATATGGTGATGAGCTTCATTATTATTACTATTGTTAATAATGATAATAATAATAATAATAATAATAATAATAACATTAAGAAGAAGAAGGAATAAAACTCAGATGTGTACAGATTTTCAACGCAGTAACATTTATTGTCCCTTTCTATGCACAGTTGGAAAAGTTCTGGCAGACGGATTAGAGTAAATTTTACAATGAAATTTTCACAATGTTTACTAAAAAATAAATACAAGACTTAAAGTGTTGCACAGCTCAAAAATATACAAAGGCTTGGAATAAATGTAAACTTTGAAAACATTTTACAAAAGAACATTTTTGCAGTGATTTTTAAAAAGGTCATATTTACAAATTTGTACAAAAATACAAAAACTGATGCAAATCCGTTAACTTGTGGCTTTCGGATTGACTAGACCCACATGCTTTCAGTTATTATCCCTCTTAGTCTTTTTTATTATCATTATTTTTTTGCTTATTATCTTACCAACACAAAATTATTCCCTAAAACGTGTTAGACCAAAACACAGCTCAAACATCTGGCAAAAGTGCAGACGACCCCCCTGCTCCCCCATGTAAATGGAAACTCAAACAGTCTCTGGTATAAATAGGTTAGATACAGCAAGAGGAAAAAGCATCAGAGATTCCATTCTTTTCAGTGCAATAGTGTAGATTCAGTTCTGGAATGACAGTTTACAGAATTGTTGCCCATGTTAAGATGCCAGTTACATGTCCCAAAGGACTTGAAGACCTCAGTGATACAATGTGATTATTTATCTATTTATTTATTTTATTAATTTATTTGTATATTATTTTTTTTTTGACTGACTCACTGAAGTGGGGTGAAGCTATGGATGGTAAACTGATACAGCCAACCATATTTTTCTGGCCTGTTACAATGTTGGCGTAAGAGACATTTTAGTGATCTACAGGACCTCAATGATATTTACTATGATTACACCGAAACTATGCATTTCATAAGGTCACTAGTGCATTGGTGTATACAAATGGGTACTTCTAAAGGTAGCATGGTCACAACAGCTTAGGTCTTTGTGCTCTGATGAGGTCACAGCCCTGTTACATCAGCCAATCAGTGGCAAGCTGAAATATGGCTGCAGTCACGTATTTGAAATTCAGAGCCCCGCCAATGTTAACAGCTGACTTATTATTTTAAATCATAATGATTATTTTTATTGTAGTAGTTTATATAAAGAGGGCAGAGATAACATCATATCAGCTGGTTTCACGTAAATCCAATTGGCAAGCCAGTATTTATTTATTTATTTGAACAGTGCCTGCTTATAAATCTGTATAATATAAATTTCCAGAATATCTTTATAAACAATATAAGTCTGGTTAAATACTCATTAAAAGTCTCTAATTTTCTGATCTCATATGCTAATTGTTATAGTTGTTGCTACATCTAAATATTTTAGTCAGATGTATGAAACAGCTCAATGCATTCTGAACACAAAATCAAACAGAGGGATAGAGGAGTCTTATGTATAATTTTCTATTTTAATAAAACTAAAAAATGGAACTTGTTCCATGTAAAAACATTACATGCAACATCTCAACTGAAAAAACAGGTTTCAATAAACAGCACCTGTTCAATTAAGCGATACCTCCATACTTAAAGTTGTGCTCTTCCTTTCTCTAGGAAATGCTGAATTTTTTCTACTTTTTGAACCTCAAAACTACAGCCATGTGTGAGAAACAAACATGTAAACACAGCCAAGACGAATGTAACTCATGTTGCAGTCCAACAGTGGGCGCCATGAGTCATATGAAAATCAGTGTATCAGACGCTGTGCTCAGATTTCTGCCGAGCTAGAGTCCTGAAGGATGGTGTTACCGTGGAGATGCGGAGAGCAGAGACGCATTGAGCTAATGCTGATGTAAAAACAGCTCTCACTTCCCTTTGCTGCACTTTGTCATAATTCCCCTTTATTTAAAATCAGCTTAAATGTAGCTTAGCGATAATCTTGTATATCATTCACTCTTCTTTCAACTTCACCTACAATGAGCATCACTTCTGCATTTCTACGCTACACCTAATTTTGAAAACCCCGTTCCCCCCTTTCATCAAGTATTAGAAAAAGATTTTTTTTCCAGGTAATTTAGAAATTGGAAAAATATGGTTAGTATTAAAAATGTTGTACAATTATTGAAAGACACCAGGATTAGAAATTCAAGTCATATGAAAACGAGATATGGTCACGTTGCCTCATGCCTCAACACCCACAGTGTTGTTTTTGTATTGCGCGCCACTGAGGAAAAGGGAAAAGGCTCTTTTAAAAAACAAAATGGAGCCCGAGCACTTTTCACCCTGTCTGGGTCACTGCACGCCACTGCACGCCACTGGTGTGAAATCCAGCTTGGGTCCTCAGCATTCCTCCTATGCCAGCTGTGTCTGTTTCACAAATGAGTTTGTGTTCTCTGAATGTTTATCATTTTCTGAAAACTGTTCACCTGAAAGTCAGTACCTCCCAGGTCTCAAAGAAGAGAGTCTAATTCCTATGGTATTCACAGAATACACCAGGGATTTTCTATCTTTTTTTTCTGTGATTTCTCCCAAGCATTCATATTGCTTAATCATTAAAATAAATTTGCAATATTGTCTGGAGAATGTAAATTCTAGTGTAAAATGTACCTGAAAAAATGGAAAGCCGGTCGCTTTTTTTATTATACTCAGCTGTGATGCACCTTAGGTTACAAACATTAACAGTAAATAGGCCGAGTGATTAGCAGTGAGACAGCAGTGTCTGGTCAAGCAATGATAGGCTGCGCCTCATGTACCCATGAACCAGGGACAGCTCTCTTCAGGTTCCTTTTCAGCTCATGTCAGTTAATACATTATATATATATATATATCTGTGTGTGTGTGTGTGTGTATGCAATGTATGTGCAGTTTATGGAAATGTAGTAATTTATGGATGGATGGGAGTATTAATCTTCATACATCTATATAAATTTATCTCACCTAGAGGTAACCTTGGGGATGATGAGGGCTGTCTCTGATCAAGTACAAAACCGATGTTAAGGAGCCTTTTATAATGGAGGTACCTTGGTCTTCAGTGATGATACTACGTGTGTGTGTCTTCATAATTTCACTCATACTAGAACCTCCTTATGTAGAAAGGCCACAGATAAGATTGTCCCATGAACACCTGCTTCAGAATGCACACTCCCCAGACGATGTTTGTGTTTGTTTTGTCTAAATGCATAACAATGGACCTGAATTTTTTTTTATGCAACCACACAACTTTGTGTTCATATATTGTGGACCTTTAAGACATGGAATATTGTCTAAAATACATAGCATATACAAGTCACTGAAAAATGTTTGATATGATTTTGATTTCTAATGTGTTCTGATAGTTAAAACATGACAAATTTTCGGAGAAGCAAAAAAAAGCGATAAATGTAGTTTTTTCCTAAATCAGACTTCCTCGAATGTTAATTGTACTTTTTCCACCTTACTACAGCTCATAGGAAGACAAGCTGTCCGTTCCCCCTTTCGGTTTAACGTCTTTTTTTTGTTTCAGTCATTTTTCACGTACCATTTTCCATTTACTGAAAAAGCATACAAACTCAATACAAGATGTGGTATCTTTCATATGAAATACACATCATGATGCTAATCGAGATCAAGTGATGTATTGATTTTTATCTGTATCTTTCTTCTGCTTTTCTTCCTTCGGAGGTCGCGTGTTTAGGAGGAACCTTGTGAGGAGCGGTCATCGTGAGGGCTGCCATCGGAGTTCTCCGTCTCTCCTTCCGATATGGCCTGCATCGGCGTGGTGTATAGCCGGCTGCGCACACTATAGCGGCTGCTGCTGGCGGCCGGCGGGACCCTTGAGCGGCCTTGCCGAGAGGAGGCCGGCCCCGGGAATGTTTTTGGGTAGAAGCCCTCTGGGGTGGTCGTGGGGGAAAGACCGGGGGGCTGCTCGGACCCCAGTGGTGACTGCTGGGGGGTGGGGAGCTCCTCCGGTGACTGTGCGGCGTCGGCACTGAGGTCTCCCAAGGACTTGGGCGCGATGGGGCTCTTCAGGATCTCTGCAGCTGACATGCGATAGCTGGAGTCCGAACGGCTGCCCTTCTTCAGGAGCAGCAGCTTGAACTCTTCGCTAGAGGTGTTGGACTTCTTGGCACTCCGATATATGGGCCCCGACGCTCGCTGTGGACCAGCTGGGCTTCCAGGAGACACCACGTTACCTGGACAGCTCGCTGGGCTACCCCCCGAGGAAGCACCTACACGGTTCTTCAGGTTTAGCTCTCCAGAATCTTTTCTGCCCAGCACTTTCCTTTTGGATCTGCAACGATAAAATGCGTATGCTTGTGAGGGATCTTGTGATTTAGTTTCCATTTTAACATATTCAGAATGCATTTCACTGGGAGAAACCTCCATCTGTGACACTGAAGATACAACAGACACACCTGTGGATCATAGCAAACAGATCCTCGGTTGTGCGTACTTTATTGGGTGACAAGAAAACAGGGTCATCTTCAGCTTTCACTTCATCAGTCAGCGGGGACCCAGAGTTGTCACTTGGTGTAGATTCTATGAAATAAGGCAAAGAGGTCACACGGTCACATTACACTACGGTCCATTTTATTAGGACTCTGATCCAATGCTGACAAAAGTTTTTGTTTGTTCTTCAATTATCTGATTGACTTTCAAATCCACTAGCTGCCCTAGTTTCTTGGCTATTATTCTGGTCTGACAAATACCTTTGGTAGGAGAACTACTTAACCGAAAAGATAACTACAAATACGGTACTATAGCCTTTGAGAAAGTCACACTTGATAATTTGCCTTTGACAGAATAATGGTGACTTCACTGAAGCCCTACTTTGCGTCATCTATCACAGGTTAGCTGTAATTGTGATATCTTGGAGATGATGAAGTAAAAGCCATACCTTTACTGAAGTAATCTTCTGTGTCTGGTGTTGATCCCTCTTCTGTGTTGTCCAGTGAGGCACTTTTGGTCGGAATACCTGATGTCTCATATTCCTCTTCCCTGCTAATTGTTTCGTTGATTGTGTGAGCTTGCTGTGTTTCTGATTGATAAGTAATTACAGGCACTTTGTCAGGACTGTTGCATGCACCAGAGTTGTACTTCCTTGCTATCTTGTTTTTAGCTGGGGAAGAACCTGCATTTGTTGGATACAAAGAGGTAAATTCAAGGGCCCAGTCTGGGCTTGGAGGTTCATTCTGCTCCTTCTCTGATGAGTCACCAGGAAAGTAAGTGCTTAAAGCATTTCCCTCTTGTTCTTCAACTTCCTGGAGGCATGCTGCACCCTCAGACATCCCTGCATGGTCTGTGCCTCTCCAAGACACTGTAGGCTTGTGAATCCTGGGTTGGAACCTTGGTACCAGCGTGGATTCATGCTCTCTGAAAACTGTATCAGAAGGGATTCTAAACGGTGTCATAGCCCAGAACGGTCCCGGGACATTTCTGTCTTGCTTGTGTCCCATACTTTCATGATATGCTACATCCCTTATAGTGGGTTCATCATCTGGGGTAAACAGTGTTTGGCAGTACTCCTGAGAAGAGGGATCATTCAATTTAACAACTGCAAGTTTGCTGGATTCTGGAGTCTGGTGGGAGACTTGGGTGACTGCTGTTGGACACTTGGGCCAGGTAGCTGTATTAGGATTCATTTGGTCCAGGGATTGTTCACTGGACTTGATGATGGATCGTAGCTGGATAGAATGAAGTTCAATAGGAGTGACAGCCACAGAAGCTGAGCTGGGGACTTCAGAGTTATTAATACCAGCCTGTGCTACTTGTGCTGCTCTCATCTCAGCGATCCATGCGCCTGCTGCCCGTGCCTCAGCTGCTGCCGCCGCTGCCGCCGCCGCCGCCGCCGCTGCCTTTTGTTTGTTCTGGTGAAGAATGTGGATCTGGTTTCTGTGAGCTAAGGATTTGCTGGGAACATTGTGAAGAGCACTTAGGTCGAGATGGGTTGGAGGTATGAGTGGCAGCTCAAGGTCTCTTCTGGAGGAGGTGCTTCCCTCTCGGGAGGAGAACTGTTGGTGCAGGGAACAAAGGGAGGACTTTCTCTCTGGGACTTTGGGTTTCCTCTTGCCAGTGGTTGGGGATAAGGGCCCAGGAAAGAAAGCTGAAGGAAAGGAGGATGTTGGTGTTTCTGACTGGCTGGAGTACCCACTGGAGGGTGATGCCAAGCCTGCTAGCTTTTCCGGGGAGGCAAGCTTGAACTCATTTTCTACAGAAGGAAGAGAAGGTGTGGTGGCTCTGGATTCTGACTGAGAGTTCTGCGACTCTGAGCTCTCCACTGACTTGACGCATTCAATGACAGTTGTACCCGTAGCACTGCTGGAGTTGGATAATGATCGGTAGGGATCGCTGGATTTCAAGTCATTGAGGAGCCAGAGATCTGCATAGTCAGACTGTACAGCACCCTCATCCTTAAAAGAGTGCGTGTCCGCAGCGCTGAACAGAGTACAGTCAGCCATCTCGCCAGAGTTCTCCATAGCCCAAGTTACTGCTGGCTCGCTTACCATTGGGTTCTCTGACTGACCTGGAGAGCTAGTCAAGTCTAGCTGCAGCTTCATTTCCCTGGAAGACAATGGCAGATGCTGTCCGCTGTTTATCTTTGGTTCATTTGTGTCAGGAGCATTCGCACTACAGCTTATTTCCTTCAGTGACGAACTACGTTTTGGTGGGGATGGCTTCACCTTTGGTTTTTTTAAGGAAAGACAGCGCCTTCCTAAAGTTCTGTGACCGCTGTACTCTGGCTGACAGTATTTGTCCATGCTAGATGCAACAGTTATGCCTCGGCCACATTCAGAACCCATAGCTGCATAGTTATGAATATAGCTCCTGTTACCTTGAAGACCACAGTCAAAGTGCATGGAGGTATAACAGCCTTCTGTGTCTATGGAGTAGTGCGAACTGGAGTCTGCCTTTTCTGTTGGTGGTTTGTCCACGAAACTCTCATAAGTAGCCATACTTGTGAAACTAGGACAATCCAAGCTGCCCTGTTCCTCCCTGGAGCGAGGGGGACTGAAATCCAACCGACTAGACTTATCGTACTGAAGATGTGGGTAGTTCCACTCACAATCACTAGCAGTGCTGGTGCTTGGGTCATCCAACAGTTCAGTTGCTGTGGAGGTAAAGGAACTGGCCCTGTAGCCTCTAAGCTGTGGCCGGTCTAGTTGGTAAGGGTCAATTGTAAAGCCAGTGGGGTCATCATTGGCATTAGGAGCTGTGTTGAGTGACAGCTCTGAATCACAGTGTGAAGATCCAGTCAGGGGAGGTGATGCAGCAGGGGGGATGGTCTCGGATGTCTGGGAAGGACAGGTGGAGCTGCTTCCACTCCAGTTACCACTGGAGGACTGGTGGTCCTCCTTGTGGTCTATCTGGCTGCCTAGCACTCCAGTTGTAGAGATGGAGTGAATAGGACTGCTGAAGGTGTCTGAGCTTGAAGAAATCTCACAACTCCCCATGTCAAATTTACGTGGAAGTCGTGATCTACCCCTCTCGACCCACGTGTGCTCCGGGCTTCCCCTGTGTTGGTTGTAATTTAGGCTGACCAACTGATGTTCTGGCATGACCTGGTCCTCAATGCTTTCTTCTTCATCCTTCAAAATCCTTTCTCTGGGCCCTGGCAGAAATTCCTCGGTTTCATAAGGAGAGAGCTCTTCATCATCGCTGTCATCATGGTTTTCATCCACGAGGCGGCCACCCTCCCGAGGCAGGCTGCGAGAACGCAGGCGGCTCCCCATAGTGGCTGTAAACATGCTGTCAGAGCCGTCCGGCAGGGAGGTGATATTCCCAGTGGAATGGGAGAGGGAGGTAGGGATGCCCTGGCCCCTCTGGGCACGAATCCGCCTCCGTGAAGGTGCAGCAATTAAGAAATCGTCTGTCTGGCAGCCTGAGTCCTTCGTATTGAGGCGGCCGGTGACGGAGAGCTCTTCACGGCACAATGAGATGTCAGGGTTATTGTGTACGATCGCAGTCCGTTCTCTTGCTACCGGAGACTCGTCAGAGTCTGGGGGAAGATCAAAGCAAAAATCTTATATTACAAAATCTGAAAAGTCAGTGGATGAAGGAGGACACCCTTTGACTCTCACTACCTCGCTGACACTGGCAAGCTTCTCGTTACCCTCCATCAAGGAAAACTGCTAAAAGCACATTCAACTGCAATTTACCTGTCTAATCACACTGGCAGGTTACGCTGGCAGCCATTCAACCTCAAGAGGCTTAACATTGGAAACTAGCTGCGTTTCTTCTAGAGGCAAAGCTGGTCTATTTCTCAGCATTTACACAAGCTCTACACAAAGAGGAAGAACCAGCTCATATCCTCCAGCATTTCCTACCAGAAAACCATTTTTATTTCATATAATTCAACGTTGAACATTTTTTGAGTTTCAAAAATTTCCAGTGATACTAAATTAACAGTGGACATTGAAAAAATAAAAATATGTTAAGGACGTTTCCTTTAATTCATAATTTATTCAACATTGAGATGCTAATGTTTTTATTCCAGTGTGATATTTTTCTAAAATATAGTGATGAGGATTTTCCAGATTTTTTGCAAATCAACATGATTCATCAGGTTGAATGTAATTCTGCAAAAAAAACAGACGTGGAAGGTATTTTCTACTTTAAAAGCAATATTTAAACTATTTGTTTGAAAATCATTGAAAAATAAACATGTAAAATGTTTGTAAACAGATCTAACAGTCTTGACCAAGTCTGATCTGCTCTACGGTAGTAGCTTATGATGTGACAATAAGTGTATGATTTTTCCTTGGCTCACTATTCAAAATTTTCACATATTTATACAATAGTGAGCAAACCTGCATTCATAAAATAGTAAATATTTTATTTAGGTTTCACTAAGGGAAAATCCTTCTCCATAATATACAAAAAGTTTTTTTTCCTAAAATAAACCAAAACCCTTATCAATAAACAGTTTTACACAAACCATGACTACGTACGAACACAATAACTTCATGACAAGTTATGTCATGCAACGGCAGCTGGATGGATGACATGCAATATTTTCATTTCTAAAACGAGACTGCAATATTCAAGCATACCACATGAACATAGTCTAGAGCTGCTCAATAAACACAGGTTACTGCTACCATAATTATTATTTATACGTTCACCATGGTCAACTCTATAACTACATCACATCAATATTATATCAATATCATGAAGCAATGACAGTCAGGGCAAGTACTACCTTCTTGTTGCACTCGTCTAGGGATGCCAGATATGGTTTTCCGTCTTCTCAGCTTTCGTCGCCTTTGAAGTACCGACTGAGAATGAACAAGCGAGCAGCGGACACTGGCCTCTCTGTCAAATCCGAGCCCTAGAATGCACACGGCGCATGTGAGGAGTCCTTGTGGGGGATCACAGATACGGAGGAAGTACCCGACATGCCGGCTTGCATAACTTGATCAGCATTAAGTTGATAAGGCTATAAATGTAGCATGAAAGCTATAATCCAGTCAGGGTGCGATAACTGCACAATTTTTCACAGCTTATCCTATAACACAGTGGTCTGTAACCTTTTTCTTACAGTGAGAGCTACTTATACAAAGAAAATAATCTGGTGAGCTACTGAGTTACAATGGTCTATTTTGCCAACCGGGGGGGGTCCTTCATATATTTTGCTGATCGGGGGGGGGGGGGGGGGG